GTAACGAAAGAGAAACCTTTGACCCCAAATAACAATAGGATCGGACCATTGTTCTACGAACAAATTATTTTTAACAATTTCAAAATATTCTCCACCCTACGGTTAAACACGAATTTTTGTTCGTTATTAAAACATTTCTATTTGCAATCAGGTTAAGGGGTCATGCTCAGTCAGGAGGCCGAAAAAAGAGTGTTCTTTAGGAATTTTTTTCTCGAAAACTATGACCTTTTTCAAAAAATGTGTTTGTGTTTCAAAGATTGCAGTTTCTAGATTATAAGGTAATTTTTTTATTTAAAAATATTTATTAGTAAATAAATGGTGAGCTATATTAGATCTTAATATTAGATCTCCCGGATGTCTCTTCACAAAAAGTGGTCTGCCGTGATCACTGTAACTTCGTAACGGTTCGTCTGAAATTAAAAATTCAGTAAGATTTATGTAATGGAAGAAGCAATCTTGTCCATGGACGTGGGGTTTTTCGAAATATTGATTAGGAACAAATTAGCGGACGTTTTCCTGAAAAAGTGCGATTTTCACATAAAAAATCACTCGTTTTTGATCAATTAAAAAAAAAGTATGGAACGAACAAAAGAATCCTTCGTTCAAGGACAAGTTTTTCTGATTTGAAATAAGGCGCAAAAGGTTTCATGTAAATCGACACAGTAGTTTTCGAGAAATATTGATCACCGATTTGAAAAATGTAGTTTCGAGAAAAACGCGTTTAAAGTTTCAAGTCAAGCTCTTACACTTACTATATATAAAATGTTCATTTTTTAACGCCTGTAACTCTGTCATTTTTAATTGGATTACCTTGATACTTGCACAGAATATTTTCGAAATGTTGTACTTAAAGACAATCTAGAAAGTGAAAAATCGATTTTTTGAAAATTTATGACTGAGCATGACCGCTTAATTCTCACGGGTCGTCCGCAACGCAATTAACGCCAAACCACGATTATTCCCGTTGTTCGCAGAAACACAGAAGGACCGACCGAATCGGCCTCAATTCTTCGTTTCTTCCTTGCGGTGGCACGCAAGCTCGCCTGAGAAATAAGCAGGCACGATATTCAATAAATAACGAGACGCGTACGAGATAATTGGGAAGCCATAATTGCGCGCATCTTGCGTATTTCGTGCCTGGGCCGAAAACGCGCGGCGGCGATCGATCGTCATGTGGGCCCCGCAGGGCATCGCCGATTCTCTTCCTACGGTCAGGAAACACAAAAGGGACTTTCGCGTGAGAAGACAATTTCGACGTATATAACATCGGCTTGGTTTCCGGTGAAACGGCCGCGACAAACAAAAGCCCGAGCTCGACGAATTCGCGGTCGTTCGCCGAATGTTTAACTCTCATAATCGAGAGAAGCCCTTCCCTCCGTGTCACCCATCCCCCTGTTCAAGCGGTCGGTCCTCTGCGTCGCAGTTCTATCTCCGTCCATTCGTGTTCTTTCCCTTCCGTCATTGGGTACGAACTCATCAACCACCTGTGTTCTTTTCGACTTTCTCCCCAGCGACGATTATATTTCGCATCCTGTGTTATTTGCCAATTTTTATTATTCCGCCGCGAGAACCATTGTCTATCTGCGCCCGGAGTCGTTGGAGCACACCTAATGGCCATTCGTCCTACGGAATACAAAAACAGATTCGTTTCATTGCGAACCCCTAGCTCTGTAATGGATTTCTGTGTTTTTCACTTGCTTGGAGATACGAAGGAAATGAGTTGGAAGCATACGAAGCGAGTGTAGAGTTTCAGGTGATCAAGACAGGGGTCTCTTTGTAGGACCAAAGGTTCATTGGGGAAGGTATGTAAATTCGAGAAAAAATACGGACAAATCGTACGAGTCTTCGCGCAATCAGTTCCCGTAGCCACTAGAAAATCGCCGTACATTATTAAGCGGCCTGTGGACTGCCTCGTCTTTGCCGTAATTTCCAGTAACCTTCGATACGCGGCCGATAGGAGCACAGTAATCAAATTCATCGATCGTATTAGTGGCAACAGTGTTTCGCGGAAGAACTAGCCACCCATGTCGTCGTAGCAAAGGTGGAGGGAATACTCCCGCAATCGATACATCGGCTTGTTTAATGAATCCTAGAAATACATAGTGATCTACCATTCGCCGCACCAACATACTCGGTAATTTTACCGTTTCAGTGATTTTCAATGAATTTCTCGTTTGCAGAATTTTTACGGATCACAGACAGAAACAGTTGTTCTCATAAAATATGGACACGGGAGTGTCCTCTGGCGAAAATATAGCGCGGAAACTTTCAATGGACACTCAACTTGCAAGAGCTCTGACCGTATCTGCTGCGTCCACGGAATACAGTGTTGAATACCACTGCTCTATTCAAACATTGCATTCGAGTACGATATCGGAGTTTCCGTTTCTATTAAGAACCAAACTTTCTTTCCGCAAAAAAAAAAAAATTCACTCGAAGCGAACAGAGTTTCGTCCGATGCAAACGCGGGTAGTATTCGGAGTTTATCGACGCGAATCAGCGGAACAGCCACGTGTGTACGATCAAGAAATTCGCATGGTCTCGGGGCAGTTAAGATTGTATCTTTTAACGAAAGGCTAAGGACTGATGAAAGTGGAGGTTTCTATTGAGATCTAGCCCCCGATCGAGTCCGGTTCGTCAGCGGTCGTCCTTCGGGGTTCCTAGCATCGCCTCGGCGGGTGATAAATTAGCTAGAAATAGGTAACTCCGGGCAGGTGATGTTACATTGGCAGATGTTTTCGGTTACACAATAGTCCGTTCCTAATCTAGCCGGTATTGGTGTTACCCGTTTTTTTTTTCCATTCGTTTAAGATCGACCATGCGTGTCGCGTTATTGCGGCTATAAATAGTAATATTACAATAACGGTCGTAATTAGTATAATTTTCATGATTTTCAGGAGCTTTATCGTTACTTCAAAATGCAATTATTTATATTGAAACAATGATAAGCGTGTTATATTCGCGGAAATTCGAACGGTCGCGTGTACGCGCGATATAAGTAATGTCGCAAACTCTTGCAATTCTTTTTTATAATTAACAATTGACACGATATAAGGAAACTTATTATCGCACAAGTTTGCTGCTACAGTGAAATCGCACTATCTAATATTTCGAACCGTTTTGATAATTCGCCGATACGATCGTACAACGCTAGTGAAACGTTCTGTACACGTCGCAATATTACGCATATACAACACAGTACATTATCGCTGTTCACACGCGATGATTCCCACGCGACATTTACTTCAACTGTATATTCATAGCGAAATGATTCTCCTTTCGTTAATATAAAACTTAATGTACTCCCCTTATCTTTACTAATTTATATATTAATGTTATTGATTTCTCGAAGACGACATAAAAAAGAACGGCGCACGCGATACGAACGTTTAAATAAATAACCGAACTATCTATTTAATAGAATGCAACAAATAAATATTCTAATATGAAATTGAGTTACATCCATGAAAATTACAAGCGCACACGTAATTCCCGTCTTACCGTTCAAATACCCGAAAAGAGACTTAAATAATTGATTATGAGACGCCGAACCGCGGTGAGTTGTTTTCCATTATACATTTCGTGGGAAGGAAAAATTCGATAAATATGATCGAGTCTCGTGATTGACGTTAGTTCGACCGGATGGATAATCCCAAGGAAACAATCGGTTACCTTGGTTGACGCGCAGCAAAGGTGGAATCGTCCGAGGCGCGGAATTATATCTGCGTTGATAGCAGAGAGAAGGAGGTGAGTGGTGAAGAAAGATAGAAAAGAGAGACCGCATAATATGCAGCACCGGCGGGCACGTACATATGTATGTATCACGATGTCCGGCGGCGCACTTGCAGGCCAACAAGAAAGGAAACTGCGGGCTACGAGCCAGAGTAGGGGAAAGAATTCCGTGGTAGCTTCCATGGGATGAGAGAATCTCGGGTCCGTCACGACCGCGGCTACACACCTCCATATACGCTCTGCGCGCCCATAAATGCATAAATCCGTATACACCCACTCTTTCCAACGTTAATCCGTTAGATTCCATGAATACTCGTGGCCTGTCTTCTCGAACGCGATAATCCACGGTCGTGATCTCCCGCGATTCCGACTAGATTATTGGAGGCACGATCGCTTCCAGTGAGGATTCGTCTGTAATCATTATCGGTTAAACTGCGGTGGATACGTGTGGCGGTACTACTAAAGTTAGACGTCTAACGGCCGCTTTTTCATGTCACCAACGTATTCGTCATCTTGTTTTCAGATACGGACAATTTGTCCCTTGATCGCTAGAAAAGCGTAGATTCATAAATGGGGAACGTATCCAGAAGAAAGAACGCCTTAATCCTGGTATGCACAAGAGTTACATTCATGCCTCGAATTTCAACGTTCGATCCTGTTTCCGTTATAGTTCTCTTCGTTGGGTAGGTAGGCATAGTCGGAAAAGAGACGTCAATAGCCAATCGATAGATAAGCGTGGTCGTCGGGTCGCAAACACAGCTGGGTCCACTGTAGGGCTCAGGTAATCCGGAACACAGGATGCCTTGTGTTACTGTGCCAAGTCTCCTCGGTGTTGTGTACCTACCCGCGGCCATCGTTGGCCCGATCCTCTGTACACGCAGCTTGCCTCGTTTTCTACGTATTTCGCTATCTTTTCACTGTCCTCGGAGCCGACGCTGTTTGTACGGATTAACCGACTAGACCATCTCATAATGCTCCTTCGCGAAATCATTCTCCCTCGAGCGGGCTTGCCGAGTTCTTCTATGCTGTTCTGAATATCCACCGTTGAGAATCCATTTAAGATACAACGGAGAGAATATGTGAAAACGACGCGATGCGAGTATCTTTGATTTCTTTGCGAAATTACGTTATTAATTACCGCAATATGTATATACATAACATGTATTGAAAACTGCTTACCAATTATAAAATTTATTTGTACATTTGACACTTGAAAAGCGACGTTTTAATAATTAAATTATGTTTTGTGTTACAGGTACGACCTGGGGTTGCGTCGGGGTAGCTAGTGAAGTGTCTGTTGGTGCTGAAGAGGTTACGATTACCGATAAACTACGATTGAAGAGGGCGGGGAGCGCGACATTTGGTAGGAGAAGAAGAAGAAGAAGAGTAAGTCGAGAGAGTGTAGGCGCAGGCGCCGTGGGTGATGTGAGGCTGGCGCCCGCCTCACGTTTGGGGTGATGCCCTCCAGTGAGCCTCATCCCCCCCAGTACCACCTTCAACACCACAACATTCCTCCCTCGCATCTTCAGCAGCATACGTCGACCGCGATCGGGCAGCATCAGCTCTATCAGCAGCTGGTGGCGGCCCATCATCAGCAACAGCAACACCAGCAGCAGCAGCAGCAGCAGCAGCAGCAGCGTCAACAGCAACACGGCGGGCCCTTTCAAAATTCCACGTACACGCAGCAGAAGCAGGAGATGAGCCCGGAGGAGGAGGGGGGTCGAGGGGGCGGGTCCCCCCCGGCAGCGGGGGCTGCGCTGCATCAGCCCCACCACCCCCGCACGGCCAGTCCACCCTCGGGCACAGAACCCTGCACCCGCGATGCTATACCAACGCCTACACCTATCGCGGATACCACCACAACGCCCACCACCACTACTATGACAATGCAGTCGCAAGGGCAACAGCAACAGCAGCAACAGCCGGAAGGTCCCAGTCCGAGTCCAAGTCCAACGGGCGGCGACGTTGAGAAATTCGACGGGAAGATCGTCTACAATCCCGACGGTTCGGCGTACATTATCGAGGGTGAGAGTGAACTGAGCGAGGATGACTCCTTGCCGGACGGTTGTATTGTAGACGGGCGCGGTGTCTCTGTTCCTCATTCGTTAGTATTTCCTCAAATCGCGAGCGCGTATTACGTGTCGCGACTATACGCGCATCAGGCCTACCAGCAGCAACAGCAACAACAACAGCAACGCTCGGCGGTGCAACAGCACAATCCCGATCTTCCTGTGATGCACAGCTATCGGGTGATCAGTTACAGAAGCGCGGAGGGCAGTAAACAGCCGCCCCCGCCCACGGTTGCACCACCGTCTCCTGCCGCATCCGTGCCCGTGAAACCGATTCTAATGTGTTTCATATGTAAATTGAGTTTCGGGTACGCGAAAAGTTTCGTGGCGCACGCTCAGGGCGAGCACCAGCTCACCTTGATGGAGGACGAAAGACAAGTACTTTCTCATTCGACGGCGTCGGCTATCATTCAAGCGGTGGGCAGGGGAAAGCAACCACTCGTCAGCTTTCTCGAACCTGTGATGAATACCACTTGCCCGCAATCGTCACCCGCGCCGGTGCAAATTCACCAGCAACAACAGCGCACCGAATCCAACGAGCACGAAACACCGACAACGACCGGTACGCCGACCAGCACTCCAGGGGTACCGAGCAGTCCTCAACAGCAGCAACAGCAGCAGAGGCCATCGCCGAGTACACCCACCACACCCACGTCTCATTCGAATCATCCGCTCGTGTATAATCATCAACCGCCACAGCAACATCAATGGACCGGGGCGCAGGTCAGCGCTGCTTCCTGGGCCAAAGCACCAGACGCTAGCATGCATTACACTTCACCACCGCCGCCAACTTCATCGACGAAAGGTTCACCGTCTTCTTACGCAGCTTTGACCCAACAGCCACCGAATTTCCTAACAGGCACGACCATCGGTGTCTGCCCGGAACACATGCAAGGTAGACCTAGCGGGGTCGAGTGTCCGAAATGCGAGCTTATTCTCGCCAGCAGCAGGTTGGCCGGTCCCGGTGGACCATTGGCCGGTATTCACAGTCGAAACTCGTGTAAAACGTTGAAGTGTCCTAAATGCAACTGGCATTACAAATATCAGGAGACCCTTGAGATACACATGAAGGAGAAGCATCCGGAAAGCGAAACATCTTGCATATATTGCATTGCTGGCCAACCTCATCCCAGGTTAGCACGCGGCGAAACTTACACCTGTGGATATAAGCCCTACAGATGCGAGGTGTGTAATTATTCCACCACGACGAAGGGTAATCTTAGTATCCACATGCAGAGCGACAAGCATTTGAATAACATGCAAGAGCTCCAGCAGGGCGGCGGCGCTACCTCGGGGGCCAGCAATCCATCTTCCTCTCAGGACGCGCCAATGCCAACGAGAAGTCCGCATCACCAGCAGAATCATAGCCCGCACATAACTGGCCAAGCTGGAAACCAAAGTAAACCGAAACCAACGTTTCGCTGCGACGTTTGCAACTACGAGACCAACGTGGCGCGTAACCTGAGGATACACATGACCAGTGAGAAACACACGCACAACATGCTGGTCTTGCAACAGAACGTGAAACACATGCAAACTCTGTCCGCGTTACAGTCCCATCACCAGCAAGCACAGCACCACCATCAGCAAGCGCAACAGCAGCATCAGCAGCAACTCGAGCAGTTGCTTCACCTGGGCGGCTTGGATAAACCCCAACACGCCGAGGCAGCCCTTGCGGATATGGCTTACAATCAGGCCTTACTGATTCAAATGATGACCGGTGGTCAACTGCCACCACAGCTCCCACCGGAAATTATGGGCGGTATGGCGAGCATGGGCGCGATTGGAAATCTCGGCGGAGACGTTGGACTTTCACCGGACAGTATGGATCCACCGCCAGAACCGGCCGATCCCGATCCGTCTCAACTTTATCAATGCTGTGTCTGCAACAATTTCGCATCGGACTCGTTGGAAGCTCTGGGCCACCATCTGGCTGTAGATCGAACGCGAACGCGGGAAGGCGAAATCCTCGCTCTGGTAGCCGGCCACTTCGTATGCAAACTTTGTTCCTATAAAACTAATTTAAAGGCGAACTTCCAGCTTCACTGCAAAACCGACAAGCATCTGCAACGTCTGCAACACGTGAACCACGTGAAAGAGGGTGGTCCCAGAAACGAATGGAAGCTGAAGTACCTGGCATCGCCCACCAGCGCAGCCCAGTTGCGTTGTCACGCGTGCGATTATTACACCAACAGCGCACACAAATTGGCCCTTCACGCCGCATCACCGAGACACGAGGCCGCGGCTCTGCTTCTTCGTCATCTGCTGGAGGCCAGCTCGAATGTGCTGTCGCACGGGAAACTGTACCATTGCGCTCTCTGTGGATTCAGCGCGAGACACAGATTGCCGCTTCTGCAGCACGTTCGATCGTTGAGACACCTTCAGATGGAACAACTGCATCAGCTTCATCGACGGAGTGGCATCCAAGGGAACGAAACCCCTCATACAGACATCGGTGATGTTTTTCAAGTTGTGGGCGATCCGGATGCTCCAGCCGCGCAACAATCCGGTCCGAATACACCGACCACTCCGAACGCTACCAGTGTCAACAACGGTGAGTGAACAAAATCCGTTTTTCTTTCTGTGTTACACTTGTCGCTTCGTCGCTTCTTTAGTGATTTCTAGTTTTTATTTTGTTGCTTCAAAGACGGATCGAAGAAGTAGCCTCCCGGTGAAATACTACTTTGGCGATTGAGTTGAAAGTAACACATTCGTATTGAACGTAACATGGGTGGAAGGTACTGATGAAAGTAATTAGATATCTGTGCTGTGCGAAGTTTTAATCCATTCCAGAAGTTACAAGGAATTTACGAATGGAATACCGAGGAAAAGAATTCTTCATCGGTGGTCGAGTATTTCAAATACGTCTGCATCATACTGTTTTTTAATAGTTTATTTGCTATATTTTACTCGGAACATGCTATTGAATTACACTAACGATTAATGAATATCAAGCGTTGAAACATCATAATATGCATATATAGATTATTAATGTTGTTTGTTGCACATAATTTTGTAAAATGCAATTGCATAAGAAATTATTGCACTATCATATTGCTTTACTATATGTATATTATTCTGTCGTTGGTCAACGAACCCATATACAAATCAAAGTGAAGTATTCAATTTGTTCAATTATCATGTCATTTGTTTACATGTATTATATTATATTTTTTATTTGTCACGTACACATCAAACCGCTCGAAACACCACGATATGGTAAACAAGTTATTGCTTGCGAGCAGGATAATCATCGAAGCCAGTACTTTTAATAATTTTCCAAAACCGTTGTGACCTATAAAATGTCATGCGTGACTTTCATGGTAGCTCGAATAACTTTCCGACTCTTTTCGTGTAACGTTCACATTTGTTCTGCATTTATATTAACTCACTAACTTACTAGCAACTTCTCGATGGTTGAATAATTGAGGAGCTCGTAACAACCATATGGCCCTTGCCGAATTTGTTTCTTTTTTTTCAGGAGAGTAAAAAATACTCTGGTATCTTTAAAAATCTTAAGGGTCGATCAATTTTGTTTTCAGAATAAATCAGGACATATGTCATTATTAATAGTATAGGTTTCATCGTGTAGCGAGTTCCATTTCTGACTACTAGAATTTATTGTTATCGTTTTTGTTACGAGCCTCTCAACTGTTGAGAAAACAAATTCACCTTTCTTTTGTTCGTTATCGATGGCACTCCCCCGACATTCGATGAACCGTTTTTTTTTTAAAGTGTCGCCCTAAATAAAATTTCTCGTCGCTCGTAGAATGCTGTTTACCACCACACCTTTTCGTGAATTCAATATTTTCATCGATTATCGCGTAATTAACAGGCAATGACGGTAATTTCACGTGGCATATGGTCGTGGCGTGTGCCGCGACACGCACAATGCTGAGCGTTATTATATCGGCCGGCCTGTACTTACATAAATATATGAGAGGAACGCATACGAAGAGAAAACCAGTAGCACGCGTTGCCTCGTCCCGTTTGTGTTCTCGCAACTGACGCTGTTTCGGTGTAAATGCGGTTTCTGACAATACCAGACCACGCGAATGGGCGGTCTTCCTTTATTTTTCGGTCTTGCTTTCTCTCCACCGGCTACACTTCCATTTCCCCGGGAACGAACCATCGACAATTTCGTATTCGCCAATCTGTCATTTCGATGGCATTGTTACCACGTGACAAGCAACCATCTCCGATATCTGTACACCACGACCAGATCCACCCAACGCGTTCTTCATCGTTACCAAAACTTTTTCTTGTAACGCGGCGTAATGCGGACCTTATTGGCTTTTCGCCGCAAATAGGATTATTGGGACTGTGTCACCGATTTACTTCCGTGACTTTAAAATTGTTGGTATTAATTTGGGAAAATTAGATCACGTAATAATTAAACTTAATTTATTTGAGACACAAATAGGAAAAAGTGCAATTGAGAAATATAAAGGTTTTAATATGTTTAAATTGATTAGTATGAATGTCTTGTATCTAAGTACTTTCTCTTATTTGTATTATACATATTTCGTCCACGTAGAAATTTCTTTAAGTAATGTTTGGGCTATTATAATATTAGTGTATAATTCTTATTGCACGCGTGCACTGTAGACGGTTAACCTGGTTCTGTTGCAAACCCATTGTGCATTAGGCCCAATTACATTCGTCACCGTAAGCGAAAACGTTTTACACTTTTGCAGAACGACGGGAGGACGGTAGCGAATGCGGTAACGAGGTGAAGCAAGAGCCAGATAACGATCATGAAACGGAACAAGAACCGGAGAACGAACAGGAGGATGTCACCTGCCCGTATTGCACTTATCAACCGACGTCACGCGAGGAATTAAGGCAACATTTGCAAGTAGCTCATGTTCAAGACTCCGACGAGAAGGCCGAGACTGTGAAGGAGGAACCACCGCCGGAATTGTTATGCCCGTTATGCCAGGATGGATTCAGAGAACGTGCAGCGCTGGAGAAGCACGTGATGCAAATACATTCGGTGAACGCGGACGGTTTGCAGCGGCTACTGCTTCTGGTAGATCAGAGCCATTGGCTGAACAACAACCCCAGAAACACCTCGACACCCGCGGTGACCATGCCAACGTCACCGACCACGACCACCAAGCCGCCGCAAGAAGAAGATCTCAGCGAGCGCGGCGGCAACGAAGAGATCGAGGAAATCACTCGGTGCACCATCTGCGGACGTATATGCCGTTCGTTGGAGGAATTACAACAACATCACAGGGAGGCTCATCCTGCTACCACGCCCACGTTGGCGGTCAGCGAGAAACACGTTTACAAATATCGGTGCGGACAGTGCAGCCTGGCCTTCAAAACTCTGGAGAAATTACAGCAGCACTCGCAATATCACGCGATCCGGGACGCGACGAAGTGCGCTCTGTGCGGACGATCGTTTCGCTCCGTGCAGGCATTGCAGAGACACCTCGAGTCGACTCACGCGGACATGCACGAAGAGGAACTCGCGCAGTACAAGCAGAGCTTGATTCACGCGCACCCGCTTCTCCAGGCGCTCACCGAGGAGAGTTTTCGAAGGCAAGGTAATCTAAGCGTGGAGCAGACCGTAGAAGACGACACAAGCAAAGCGGACGAAGAGGAGAGTGACGCGAGCGACTCGTCGCCTCTGCATAAGGAACAACGTCTTTTGGAGGACTATTTGAATAGCCAGCCGGTTGCCGAAGACTCGTATCATGATCCGGGCAGGAAGTTCAAGTGTCATCGCTGCAAGCTTGCGTTCACGCGGCAGAGCTACTTGACTGGACACAACAAAACGTTGTTACATCGTAAGGGAGAGAAGATGTCCTATCCGATGGAGAAATACTTGGACCCCAACAGACCGTACAAATGTGACGTTTGCAAGGAGAGCTTCACCCAGAAGAATATACTCTTAGTTCATTACAACAGTGTGAGTCATCTGCACAAGTTGAAAAGAGCTATGCAAGAACAGGGTAATAATAATACACTGATCTCGGTCGTGCCGCCAGCTAGTCCGACAGAATCGCCAGATTCGCAGCAAGATCAAGATAAGAAGCCTTACAAGTGTAACATTTGTAAAGTAGCTTATTCCCAAGGTAGCACTTTGGATATTCATATGAGGAGTGTGCTTCATCAGACAAGAGCCAGTAAACTGCCAGACCTCGCTGCCAGCGGGCAATTAGACCTTGCTCGACCTTTGATCGAGCAACCGCCACCAACCAGTCCAAACAGCCCACCCGTTAGCGCTAACACTACCAGCACCGGAATGTTGTCTTGTCCCCGATGCAGCGCACTTTTCGTGAATCAAGAACAACTCGCGACGCATCAACAGCTCTACTGCATCTTCAGCAATCCATTGGCGTTATTTCAACAACTGGCAGCGTCGCAGCAGCTCGTTCCGTCTGCGCCCGCCAAAACACCACCACCACCGACGTCCACAACGCCTGGCCCGCAACACATGCAACAGAGCACTCAACACCCTGCGCAGACAACGCAAGACATACTGTCGCAGCCGCGTCACAAAACCTCGCAAATGTACAAGCATCTGTTGGAGAGCTTTGGATTCGATCTGGTCATGCAGTTCAACGAGAACCACCAAAGACGTCAACGGAAAGAAGAGGAGGCTGCCGCGGCTCTTCAAGCACAACAGGAACAGCAGAAGCAAGAGCAACAAAAACAAGCTCTTGCTGCCCTGGCCGCGCGTGAAAGAGAGGATGAAGCTGAGGAGCCCACCGACGACGATGTCATACCGGAACTGACCAGAAGTACTTGCCAACATTGTAACAAGGAGTTCAGTAGCGTCTGGGTGCTGAAAGCTCATTGCGAGGAGGTACATCGTGATCTGGTGCCTCGTGAATTTCTCGAGAAATACGCGCAGCAGTTTAAATGCGAATATGAGAAGAAGAGTGTAGTGGTAACCGTAGCGACATCCTCTTCCACGTCGTCTGCGCCCAGAAGTTCAACACCCGCGTCTGCCCAACCGCAAGATCTTTCTGCCGACAAGGAACACCGTGAAAAAGAAAAGGAAGAGGGTACGGAGAATAAAGAACGCGTCAGCAAGACTCCAGAAGCTACTTCGACTACCCCTGCAACGACCCCTGCTTTGAGCAACACGCCCGTGTCGAGCACGGATTCAACTACTCCTACCGTGTTGTCGGCAAATCCAACCCATCATATGCAACAACAACAGCAGCAACAGCAACAGCAACAGCAACAGCAACAACAACAACAACAACAACAACAACAGCACGCACAGATAACTCTGGCTCAGCAAATGTCCGAAATGCAGGCTGCTTTGAACGCCATGGCAGCTTCTCAACTACAACAGCAACTTCAGCAGTACCCGGGATTGATGATGGGAATGATGGGTCTACCGCTTGGATTGAATGTTCCTGCTTTGGCAGCGATGAATCTTCAGCCACCGTTGGTTCCGATGATGCTACCGCCGCCTCCGTACGATGGTGCTGCGACCGCGTATCCACCTATCAACGCGCAAGCTGATCTTTTGGCTAAGCAACATCTCGCGTTGCAACAGCAACAAGCAGCAGCGGTAAGTAATTTTATAATTTCTCGATACGGTAAATTTCTTCCTTTTTCTCACGGTTACCGATAGCCTTTATAGATTATAGTAATCTTCCTTGATATTAGAAAAATAAAATAGTACACAATTTACCATTATTGTTGCAAGTTTTAGAGTACCGTAAATGCAGTGACGAATTTATGACTAGCTTTAGTACATTATTCCTGATGAAATTTTGTTCTTTTAATGCCTCTAATACTTTCTTGTATTTGTCGTTTAATTGCAAGACTACGTTTGGTAAAATAAACGTGGAAAATTCTATGGAGGTAGTATGTTACGATACGAAAAATACAGTTGTAAATTCGATGTACCTATATTGTGTGTAGAGAATGGTAGCATAGACATATCTTTTCGTTTTACAGGCAAGCGCAGCTGCGTCGCAGAAACGAGCACGTACTCGTATAACAGACGAACAGCTTAAGATACTACGAGCACATTTTGATATTAACAATTCGCCCGGTGAAGAACAGATCCTAGATATGGCAGCACAAAGTGGACTACCACCGAAAGTAATCAAACATTGGTTCCGAAACACGCTATTTAAAGAACGGCAACGCAACAAAGATAGCCCTTACAATTTCAATAATCCCCCGAGCACAACGTTGAATCTCGAAGAGTATGAGAAAACCGGGGAGGCCAAAGTCACTCCATTAAATTCTAGTGTATCTGGTAGTAGTTCCTCGGACGATAAGAGTCCGAATAAACAAGCGTCCCCTCCACCGCCAACGGCGAACATCAATACCACTCAGGCGACCGAAATAAAGCAGGAGATTCAAGAGCATCAGCAGTGTCACGTTCAACAACAATCGCAGCATCAGGAAGAGCAGCAGCATCACTCGCCCGGAAGTTCGGGTGGCCAACTATCCCGACCGCATTCTCCAGCCCTTAGCATGAGCTCCGTTTTTCCCAGCATGCATCACGATGTTTCGTCTCACACACCAACGACGACAAGCGCGCCGAGCACTCCCATGCTGCCGCCAAAACTGGGACCGCAGAGTTTCGCTAGTCCCAACCCTGGACCAGGTGGGGTTGTACCAGGTGCCATAGCAGCGATGGCCTTGACACCTCAACGATCTCTAAGCCCCGGCCGCGGGCCGACCGATTATTCCTTCGGCAGCGGTTCCAACGGTAACAGTTCCTCGGGCAGCAGTTCTGGAAAACGCGCTAATCGAACGAGATTTACCGATTACCAAATCAAAGTCCTTCAAGAATTCTTCGAAAACAACGCGTACCCGAAGGACGACGATCTGGAGTATCTGAGTAAACTTCTTGGCTTGAGTCCGCGTGTCATCGTAGTTTGGTTTCAAAATGCTCGACAAAAGGCGCGCAAAGTGTACGAGAATCAACCAGCCGCGGAGCCAGTGACGACAGGTGCCCGCGAAGGGGACGATGGATCCGGCCGTTTCCAAAGAACACCCGGCTTGAACTACCAGTGTAAAAAGTGCTTACTGGTATTCCAGAGATATTACGAACTCATTCGACATCAGAAAACTCATTGCTTTAAAGAGGAGGATGCCAAGAGAAGCGCGCAAGCACAGGCTGCCGCGGCTCAAGTCGCTGCCGTTTTAAGTTCCGAAGATAGCAACAGCAGCTCCACGACAACCACCACGAATGTTACGTCCAACAATCCAACGAACGCGCCTGCCCTCGCTGAACAATTACAGCAACCTTTGAGCGCCACCACTTCACCTCATCATCAACAGCAGACAATGACACAGTCGCATCAGCAGCCGCAGCAACCAATGCAGCAGCAGCAACAACAACAACAACAGTCACAGTCGCAGTCGCAGCCCCAGGCCGAGTCCAAGGAGGGCAGTTTCCAGTGCGACAAGTGCAACCTGATGTTTGGACGATTCGAACTGTGGCGGGAACATCAGCTAGTACATATCATGAACCCGTCCCTGTTCCCACCCGCATACCCACCAGATTCACCTTTCGGGATTCTCCAACAGCAGGCGCTAAATGCTACGTCCGGGGTAGCTCCCGAGACCGCCCATCCGCTTATCGCGATGATGCAAGATAGGAAACGAAAGTACGAGGACTTCGACGATGGGACAGGTGGCGAATCTCGTTCGAATTCCGAGCACAGTGAGCAACCGAAGGACAAACGTTTGAGGACTACAATACTACCAGAACAATTGGATTATCTGTATCAGAAGTATCAAGTCGAGTCGAATCCATCGAGAAAAATGCTGGAGACGATCGCTCGCGAGGTTGGCTTGAAGAAACGCGTTGTTCAGGTGTGGTTCCAAAACACTCGGGCTCGCGAACGAAAGGGCCAGTTTCGCGCGCATAGTCAGGTGATCAACAAACGTTGCCCGTTCTGTCCAGCGTTGTTCAAAGTGAAGTCTGCGTTGGAGTCGCATCTGAGCAGCAAGCACGCCGATCAGGTCGCCCGCGGTGAGGTGAACATAGATAACATCCCGGACGAGGAACTCTCGATGGAGTCCGCGCCCTCGAATCCGAGTACACCGAACATGATGCCACCGTTGTTCCCACCTTTCAACACCGATATGGAAGCGTCACTGAAGAAGTACTACGAGGAGTCGATGAAACGATACATCAGCGAGCTACAGGCTCACGCCAGCAACGGGAAGCAGGAGGCGACGAATCACCAGAGTTCCGGCAACAACAGCGGCGAATCACCATTAGATCTGAGCAAACCGGTCGACCTGAGCCGACCGATGAAGTTGAGTCTCGGTGGTTTGAGCAATCTTCTCGAAGAACAGCACAGCATGCACTTCCGCGGCGGCAGCGATTGCGGCCCGCTAACCGATCTATCCGAGCGAAGTATTTGCGACGACGACAGCATGAGCGAGACCACCGAATTCTTGGACGACGAGAGTGGACCGGCGAGTCCGGCATCGAGTACACAAAGCTCACGACAGGGACCCGCGTCCGTGGGAACCGGGAGTACCGCGGTCACACCGGTGACCGGGACCGGCAGTGGAACCGGCCAATCGAGCGGCAAACGATATCGTACACAGATGTCGGCGACTCAGGTGAAGGTGATGAAGTCGCTGTTCTCGGACTACAAGACGCCAACCATGGCTGAATGCGAGATGCTCGGTCGTGAGATTGGCCTGCCGAAACGCGTGTCGCGGCTGTTGTGTATCGTCCGCGAGCTTGCGATCTAATCGAACCGACTGTAGGTCTGGTTCCAGAATGCCCGCGCCAAGGAAAAGAAAGCCAGGTTGGCGGCTGGCCTGCCAGCCGAGGGTTCGGCCGTCCAACCGCATCGTGGACCGACCGGGCCCGACGAGTGTAGACTCTGCTCGGTCCGATACTCGGCCAAGTCGCCGCTCCAGGAACACGTTTTCTCACGGCGACACATCGAATCGGTGCGTGTCGCTGTCGAGGAGGGTAGCTTGGTGCCCCCGACACCTGGCGCGCCGATCGTTCCTATCAGCGGCAACACCGGCACGCCGGGAATCGGTAGCGCGTCAGCGGTGATCGGAGCAACCAATCAGCAGCCAGCTGGCCAACAACAGCAGCAGCAGCAGCAGCAGCAGCAATCGGACGAAAACATGATGTACGGATCCTTGTTCCTTCACCCCACGGCGATGTTCCAGCCGCAGCAGCAACAACACCCTGGCACCGCAACACCTAGCACGGCGACCACCACGGCCGGTGAGTGTCTCGCTGACCTCTTAGACTCGTAAGCGATAGTTCAACACGCGTCTCGTTCGAAATTCGCGCATGTTTTATTTTTTTGTCTCTCGCGCGGTACCGGGGATAAAAACACGTTGTACGCAGTGTGTGCACGTTAACGGAATCGTTTTTCTATTTTTTTTTTATAATTATTATTTTTGTTGATCGCCGACACCTTGTTGATTGTGTGTGAACGTCGGATGGACACTGTTCGGTATGTTGTGTTTCTTTTCATTTTTCCTTTTTTCTTTCTCTGTGACTGCCTAAATGAAAAAGTTCGTTCGCGGAGAATGCAGGAATCTCTTTTGTCTTTTAAAAATTTTTATCGCGTTATTCTCGTGGAAACCTGTGACAATGAATTTCGAACCTGCGCGCGAGTTACGTCGTTGTATGTTGTGCACGTGTTCATTTGTTCACACCGCGTGTGTAATACATACACCTGTACAATTTGGCCCGTGTGATACTCTAGGGGGCCGCGTGAAACCTTACGGAATTTATACAGAAGTTTCGAAGTATCTTTTTACATGTATAGTGCGAATATAATATATCCAGAGCTAGGCAATACTGAAAGTTCCTATCAGATGACTATTCTAGCGTAAAAAGAAGAATGCGAGAGGACGAAAGCGAGAAAGAAAGAGAACGGGAGAGTGTGTGTGTGTGTGTGTGTGGGAAAGTCTGTGAGTGAGTGAGTGAGAAAGAGAGCGAAAGAGATTAAAAAAAAAAAATAATGTATGCAAGTGAGTGTGCATCGAGCATTAGCTTTTAAAACAAAAACGATCATCGCAAACCGGAGAGATACAAATTATTACGAACTTTATTATTATAATTTTATAATGGATTCTTAATACTATCCATTTCGATTATTACTCGAAGCGTTTGATGCATTATAGTATAGCCAGAAAGAACGGAGAATACATTGCCTTTAATTCCTACATAGCGTAGCGAAGTATCCACATCCCACTCCTCGCTCATCCCCCTAACTCGGAACCTTTGTTTCTCCTTGTTTCGATTTTTACATTATTATCATCATCGTCATCATCATCGTCGTCATTATCCGCGAAGCCATTCCAAGACCGTGTCATCTTACGTCGAAAGCCTTCCTCTTAACCGTGCCCGAAGCATAATGCACGCTTGTAAATAATTCGCGAGGCGTTCCACTGTTATCCGAGGCCCGGATAGGGCCCCTTTGTCTCGAACGGTCCCAATTCTGGCCTCCGTGGACCCACGTAATCGCTACAGACACGACTATCCGGGAAACCACGGCACATTTGCACATACATTCGATCCTCCTGCCAACTCTCCCCATCTTTCCCCCCCCCCCCCCTCTTCCCCGCGTCACGTTTCTTCCCTCACTTTTGTCTATTATTCCTTCGCGTCGTCGCGACGTAAGAGAATCCTATTTTGCCATTACGACGACATCGATCTTAATCAGGGCTAGTACTAATTATTATTATTTTATGCGTTAGTTATTTATGAGTTCCCTTTTTTTGTGATAGTCACACTCTCGCCTGCCCACGCAATCGAAACGACTCGTTCCGAGTATCTCGATCTTGAATAGCCCCGACATACGTCCATTTCTTTCTCGCTTCTTCGTACACTTTTTATTGTTTTTCATTCAATTTATTTTATTCCCCGTGCGAGCTCGTATTCCGCAGCCGACGAGGGTGTGGCTCTGTTTCTCGCTTTTTTCTTCACCGACAAACACACACATACATACACACGAGGTACTACACGGACACAACGCGCGCGTTCACCGTTCATCCATAAGGACACGCGTGAACACGGAGGATATGGATACACGTGAGAGAAAAAAAGAGAGAGAGAGAGAGCGAGAGAAACACGTACACATGCACACGTACACGGTACAAGCCAACAATGTTATGTATGTCTTTTTTTTCTATCGTAAGATTAATCTTTGGTTTTTTTTCTTGTTTGAAGTTTTCAATCCGTCTACCCTGTTTCTCAGTCCTTCACCCCCGAACCACTCTGTTGATGCACGTTTTATTTTGTTATTTTGTTTTCGGGTAAGTGTTCGTCGTGACTATCGGACATCGTATTTTGAATGTAATAGCCACACCATTTATATGTCCGATACAGTTTTGCAGCAAAGGGGTATGAAATTATTGTAATAATCCACAGAAGTAGTTGATTTGCGTTTGAACAAGCTACAACGCTGAAGCAAGCATATTTCTCGATATTTTTGTCAATTTTATTCGTGACTCGAGTAAGTCGTGACCGTTGTAACGAATTACGATGTAATCCGTCCATTGATTTTTCAGGTAGAGATAATTAAATCGGGTTCATTTAATATTGCGAAATTTTAAGCAACGACATACAGGGTGTTCGGCTTACTGACATCAGAAACCTTTTGGAGGTGATTCTATATGTCATAATAAGACGACAATGAAGAATGACAAAATTATGTTGGAGGCTTCGTTTTCAAGTTATTAACAATCGAAAATTATTTGGGTCAGAAATGCATTACATTATTTTCTGCCGCTCGACCACCTCGTCTTCACTTGTCCTTAAGGTGTTATTCTTGCTAGCAGACACCCTTTTTTCTATTACTTTTCTGTGTATTGTTTGGGATTCGAGTAACGTTCCTCAGTTCGGTGGCAGTCGTCAACGCGACCACATCTAGTAGACGCGAAATAGCCCTCTCAAAAAAGAATCTGTGTTCGTTTTATTGTAATTCAATTTGTTATAATGAGTTTTAGTTTAGTTCAAGTTAGTTTATTTAGTGTTTATTCTCTGTGCGTTCTCAACTATTCGCGTGTGCTTTTTTTATAAAGTGTCGCATGAAGATAATCTAGGCTCGAGTGCAGTTGTTACGCACCACTTCTTTTATTTCTTTGCTTTGAGGTAAAAGTGTTTTTTTTTTAAGCGACGCTTACCGTATGCATGCAGATTCTGTGGTTTCCAACGTTTTTGATTCTAAATTACTTAAAATCGATGCCTCCAACACAACTCTGTCATTCTCGATTTTAGTTTTATTTTGACATGAATAAACTCATCCCTTAAAGTTTCTGACACCAGTAGTCGATTATTTTTTATAAGTTAAATCATTGTTCCTAACTTCCCTCGATTCGATTGAATTCTCTCACTGCAAACAAAGACGAGTTTATACGATCACTTAGGTTAATTATTCGCTGAGTTTAGCTCGAATTTAATCCTTAAGCGGCTACCTTTTTAAAGGAATGACGAAGCAATACAAAATTAGTTTGTTACGTAGCAACAACTTTAGTTTAAACTTGAAGAACTTTAGTTTGTTCCATTTAGGTGGATCCATTCCAACTAATACTGATACGTGTTAAATATAGAATAAAATTAGAAATGACAGAAAAGTATCGACCTGCTCGATACGTTGAATTATTATAATATCTGTGAATACCAATATTTGTCGTTGCTGCGTATGACGGGTAAACTTTCAATTCAGCAAAATCAATGATTTGGGTTGTAACGATATTCACGCCACATTTTACAATAATTGGATACCTAAGAAATCGGGACTTTTTAATTTTATTATTCTAGATCACGTACAATGGCTTCGAGATGTATAATCAAGACAAGATTTATAATATATTATACCTTTTGGTAACCAAGTATTTTATCAAAAAATTAAATTAACAAATCTTTGTTATGTTCAAAGATTTTTACCATTTCGAAGGTTATTAAAACACCCAACGTAGAGAAAATTCTACTTAACGCGGTTCAAATGCTGTCTTCATCCAGCACAAGTTACAATAATCAATATTGTTATTCTCAATTCCTATCTTTAGTGTACTTTTGATATTTCTGCATTCCGCATCAGCACATAACTAACAAATGTTTGGTTAAATATTATTTCCTTCCATAAAACTATTAAATCCTAGATAAATCACTCGAGGGATCTTGGCACATATGTGTACGTTCAATTTTTCTTTCATTCTAAAGCATGATCCGAAAAGATACAATGAACACTATTCTAAACAAATATTGACTAGGAAATTCCCCAACAAAAAAAGGGATCCTAATAATTGATTGTCAATAATATTTATAAAATTATTTTAAATAGACAGCTGGAAATTAAAAAAAAAAAATTGTATTTTCTGGTCCTAATAAATTTGTCCCTGAAGAGATTAACTGAATTCGAACTCAAGTACGAACGAAGTTTTTCAATTGTTACATGTCGAAAATCGGTTCTCGAGTTAATTAATCCAGCAGGCCCACCATGGAGTTTTCAATTATGGACGAAAAAACAATAGGTTTCGTCGCGCGAGAGGGTAGAAGCAACGTATACGGGCTATTGACAGCGATGACTTCGTAATTGTTACGTGACTTACAGCCGACTTTCTAAGGTTTTGTCGATCAGGCCGACCGGTAATTAGTCGCGGTACTTTTTCGAAGGCGTCCCCCTGTACAACAATAGAGGCGATCTATACGCGACGATGCGTGGGGAGGTGGATGATTGCGAGAACCATTGTACACACGGTCATGGTCGGCGTTGACGGGGCCGGTTCACTGCCACCGACACCGCCGCCGTCACGACGAAATTCCCTAAAGGACGCGATTGACGCGACCCCGAATGGAATGAGACGCATGGAAGGAAAACGAGAACAAAGGGTTTGGATATTCACTCGGAAAATTGATTCCTTAGTGAGGACGATGCGTCGGCGCGTTTGAACTCCCTCCCCGTTTCCGCGTCCTTTTGTACGAACATCGCGACAAAGGCTCGATATTCGTTGCATAATCTAATGATATTTCGTTTAGGCGTCGCATGAAAGTTTTACGCGTTTAATTCGGGAACGCGAGTGTATTCCTTAGTGATGGTGGAACGTTAAGTTTTTGCTGGAATTCTCTTTAGAATTGAACACAAAATATATTGAACGCTGTTAGGATCAGCGATTTTTGGGGAACACTTAATAAAACGCTTGGACTGTTGTAGAATAAAAACATTGAAATCTTTAAAATTCCGTACGAAATTTATTTATTATTTATTCGATTATAATGTGACGACAATAGGTAATAAAAG